CCCCAAAGTAGCATTGGTAATTATTTAGGCCCCTGTGTTGGGCTTGCCAATTTTTTCGGTACTACCACATCCGTGGGCTTGAGGTGAATGGCCAGAAGGGGCTCTTCGTGTAAGCCTTGCCGGCCCCTTTTGAAGGACACCTTTTAAGGAACCCTGTTCCTATTCTGGAAATCAACGATGCAACAGTGATGCAACCTAGGGTCCCAAATGGAGGGTTTAGGGTTAAGGTTTATAGGGGTTAGGGTTTACCGCGTGGGGAGCCTAAAAACGCAGACCGGCAAGCCCAGAACTCAACAATGACCCTCTAAAACTCCCACTTTACGTCTGGACTTGATGGGTGCCAACACCCCACTGAGCACGGACCGAGGACTCTGCCCAGGTAGGACCAAGTACAGTTTCGCGTTTAGGGTTAATTATAGGGCTTAGGGTTCCAACTCTACTGAGTCAAGGCCTGCAAAGCGACAATACGCACCCATCCAATCACCAGGATACTGATACCCCAAGCAAGCGATATCATAGCCGGACCACATCTCCAAAACCCTGAACCCTAAACCCTAAACTTTAAAACCGAAGCCCGAACCCTTATTGGACCCAGGGACAACTTGAAGGAACCAAGGCAGTGACAATCAAACCAAATCCAAGCATCGAGAATGACAAGCATGCCGGTAAGAACCAGCAGCTCCAGGTAGTTGCACTCCTTCGGTCGTGTCCGTTCTAGGGTTTATAGGGTTCAGGGGATGCTATAGAGGTTCTACCAGGGTCCGGTCTGCTGGGGCGTTGTGCAGTTGGGGTTCAGTGCTCTTTGGGGTTGCTATGTGGGCCCCTCTCGGTTCCTATACTGCGGGGCTTTGTTTAAGGTTTAGGGGTATAAGGGCTTCTATAAGTACCGCTAACTAGACGCGCGACAAAGTTTGCAGTTCACTTGGAGGATCATAGGACTTAGCAAGTGTGGCTATAACTACTTTTTTTTGTTTGGGGGGGTCTATAGCAAATCATACACATGGTGGCTATATAACTACCTTCATTGGAAATATACGTAGGTATAAGTGCGGTTTACTTACAATTAACCCTAGTTACTACGTCTCATGAACCTTTAAAGCCTACTAAGACAGGAGCCTTAATAAATACATGCATCGAGAACTAGTTGCTGGAACCTGGCCATGGTACTCGCATTGTGATGGATGTCTGCTGCTAAGAGGGGGATAGAAGCACCGTGTGAACGTGATTCGGCATCATAAGCCACAGTCAACTTCGTCGGAAACCTGCGTCATAGTACCCACGAGCCCACCTACTTGTCAAATGCCAGGAAAGCGTTTGAGCCCTCAGAAAATCCCAACAAAGCTTCAAGCAAGCCCCTAAGCCCTAAACTTTCTAAACTCCAAGCCCTTCTAGCGAACCCTAAACCCTAAACCGTGAACCTAAACCCACAGCCGAGCGGCTTCCATGCGCCAAGGTCTGACAGCTGCCGTCATGATCAGGGAAAGCCTTGGTTCCAGTGAGGAACACTCAGGACTTCGGGCTGAGGGTTTATGGTGTACTGTAGGGTTTAGGGTTTAGGGTCTATAGGGTTTAGGGTTTAGGGTTTTGGGTTTTTAGGGCCAAAAGAAAGCATAGCATGAGTGTCTCTATTTCGTTTTCTAGACCCTATACTTGTCAATCACACCTGTTTTACTCCCCCATGCCCTGTTTCATCTAGCAGCGAACCCCTTTTTTGGAGCACGGCTGTGAGGTTGAGGCCCTCAAGAAAGCAGACGACTCATGGCGTTACGATTTAGCGTCTACCTTTTGAGGGCTTAGGCTGTAATGACCCGAAGTAGCCTGAACCCCAAACCCTAAACCAGATGAAGAACTATGAGACCTCCATCAAATGACGGAGGAGAGCCTCTGTGAAGTCTGTTTTCTAGGCTCTCTGGAAATCTAGATACCCCCCAAAACTTCCTGTAAAAAACTAGATAACCCCAAAACCCCAAAATCCTGTAAATCAAGGAGAAGCCTCGGCTTCTGGGTTGGAGGAGTCTCAAGATTAAATCTTGATTCTTAATTAGGGGGCCGGGGAAGTTGCAACAAATCCCGACTCTAGGGGCCAGCGATATAAGGCTCCTTCAAGTTTAAGGCTTGGGGCCAAGCCCCATAAACCTTAAACCCTAGGGTTTAGGGTTTAGGGTTTAGGGCCCTAAACGCCGGAAACACGGTTAAGGGTTGCGACCATTTGGGCCCTACACGCGGGCAGCTCCGCTCGTAAAGCGCAACGCGAATGAAAGCCTGTTGTGCTGTGTGCTGTTCTACCCATGTAGTACGAAGAAATGTGACCTGAGGGTCCGCATATACAGGTACTATACCAACAGCTTATTGAACCTGAGCTCATCAACTATACTTCTACGATGGATTCTGGGGTCATAAGCAAATCCAAGCAGCAGGATCAATGCGTTCATCCCCAGGACACGGCCTCTACAGAGAGGTTTTAGTATAGGGGCCTTAAGAATCAGAATAGGGCTGTGGCGGAGTGCATGATACTATGGCTACGAGGGGTCTTTATGAGAATACTAGCACCAGTTAGCCAGGGGGCTTTATGAGGACCGGCTCGAGGGAATATGCAAGACCGGCTTCAACATATACAAAAAAAATCCGACGAAACCCTCACAGCGAAGTATGATACAAAAGTACCCTAAACTCTGAACCCCAAAACCAGAAAACCCTAAACCGGGACCCCACAAACCTCACACCCGAGGCCAGAAGCTGTAGCAGCTAGACTGTTCAGCTGAAGATTCCTGCTTCTCGCCGCAAGGGCGGTTCAGCCACCCACATAATATGCGATCTCTCAAGGTGTATAAAAGGTGCCTACATTTTTGAGTTCAGGGCTGGGGCTTATGTAACTAAACTTCGGAACATACAGGGCTCCAGTAGGTCTGAAGATCGATGCTGCGCACTCCCAAGCCCAGAAGGATGCTACCCTTCACGGTTTAGGGTTCCGGGTTGAGTGGCTTAGAGTTCTGGGCTTAGGGTTTAGGGTTCAGGGGGTTTTGGGCCTAGGGTTTAGGGATGGTGTAGGGTAACATCCGAATGGCCTGATGGCGACGTGACCAAAGGACAAAGAACCTGAAAATCAGGCAGCGGTTCAGGGCTTGCAGTTTCGATTGCCTTCAGGAGCAGGTGGAATGGCTTAGGGGTTTATATTTAGAGTTGTAGGATTTCTTCCTAGTGTATCTTCGAACTCCAGGTCTTGAAGTGGATACGGGCACTTGCGCGGCTCAGAGGAGTTCGTGCTTTCGGCGGGTGTCTTAGCTCCAATGGAGATGGGGAGAGAGACAGAGGGAGACAGGAAACTGGGAACACAGCATGAGGGTAGTCCTCCAAATTAGAGTCCCTTTTTGGGATCCCTTTTACAGGAGTGCCGTACTAGTTTGGGGACCTAAACGGGACCCTAATATAGAGAACTGTCCATGTACTGGCAACAAAAAAGCTGCAACAGACTCAAAAATACGGACCGTCGGCCCGCATCCGATCTTGTAGGCTTGAACCTGTGTTTCCGCACCTGTGGTGGAGTTTTCGCAGAATAGAATGAATGGTTAGCTGAGTGATGCAGACAACTCTGATTTCGGGTTTCGAGGTTGGGTTAGGGTCCGGCTCGTCGTTGAGGTTTGGATGGACTGGTGCTCACTCTCTCTCCCTCTACCTGCACTCTCACGCTCGCTTGCGCGCTCACCCGGCCTCTTTCTGATTTCGTCGTTATTACTTTCGGTCTCCGTTTCAGGAAGCGGAGCCACTGAGTTATCTGCAGGGCTTGCTACAGCGGATTCAGCAACCAGAAAGTTGGAGCAGGCGTTCCTGAGGCGCTTGCCGCTGCTGCAGGCCAACTACCCAGAAAGCCCAATACCCCTTAAATAAGGAATATACCTTAAATTATAGGGGCCTTAATATTATGATTTATAAGGTATATTTCTTATTTAAGGGGTATTGGGTTCTCTGGGTAATGACTCGGTATGTCCGAAGTGACCACATGGCAGCTGATCGAAACACACTTCGACAAGCAAACTGTTAGGATTCAGGATTTGCTACAAGGCAACGTGTGCTCCAAATTGACCTTTACTATACCTTTAGTATTTAGACAAGCCCCCTGCTCAACTGAGTCGCCACAAGGGCGTTGCGTGCCAAGTGGAAAATGGCGAATCGCTCCGCACCAGGGCGATAGCGAATGAGCAAGAAGGACGTGTTCCGGATGAAGCGCACCTGGGAAGGCACCGAACCCCAAATCACGAAACAGCTAACCCGTGTTTCCGAACCTTGATGCATCGGCCCGGTTGCCGCGGGACTATTCCTGTTACTGACAACAATGACTAAGCTATTCGCCGCAGCGATGGTCCGTCCAACACTGACCAGAAGGTGATCAGGTGATAGTGACCCACGATTTAACACTTACCTCGCATAAATTTCCTTCAAAAGGCACGGCTCCAGCCGATTCTTCGATTTGTCAGGTAGCCCAGACGGAGCCAATGGCGGCTGCTGATGCAAAAGCATAGAGGGCAGAGCCCAACAACAAACAACCGGTCACAATGTCTGGAGTCACCTTAGTCCTTGGGCGGGATGTATTCTGTGACTATGTGTTGGTCTGCTGCCGAGTTCTGCCAGATATCTCGACATCTTGTGCACTAAGAGCCGTGTGTGCTTACAGGCTTACGGGTATGGAAGTCACCACAAAGCCAATCCCAACCCTCGCTCTAAAATTTGTGTATCCCTTAAGAATAATGTGGTGATTCTTCAGGCCGCTATACTACCTGATTCACCGTGCCAAACATTGCACGCCAACGTTGCCAGAGATTGGGGGTGCAGGGCTTTAGCGCGTCCTAAGCCCTGCAGCGGAGGCCCAGGAAACAGTAAGCACACAACCCTTCAACCAACAAGCCTGACAAGCTGAACGCTATAAGCCCTCAATCTATCAACCAACAACACGAAACCCAAACTCAAAAGAAAGAGAAGCAGTTGCAGTCCAAGCTGCGTCTGCTTGCAGCAGGCGATTTGGGAGCTGAATCAATACCACACAGCACCTGAGACAAGCCGAGTCCCCCCAAACGAAAGGCACCTGTGTTATACAAACACAGAGTTTAGATTTAGGGCTTCTTTTCACTGAGTTTCGCGTTGATTCAGCAGTCTTCCCCTTCGTGGGTCAGCAGCGGTCGCCATCTCGAGGTGATGGTAAGGTTTTGACAACCCCTATAAATATAAACCCTAAACACTCAAAACGCTCAACCTCTAACCCCAAAACCCTAAACCCAAACGGAACGCTAGAGAAGCTGCCGTTTCAGAGCGCTTTCCTCTGACAAGTCCTTCACAAAGGATTTAGGGTTTCGTCACTCACTCTCGCACAAACAGGCCAGGCTCCACACAAAGGGTTTAGGGTTTGGGGTTTAGGGTTTAAGACTCTCAGATGGGTTATGAAATACATGATTCGCAGCCTACTCTTTAGGTAACCAAGTGCTAGGGGATTCCCAGGCAAAAGTGGCAGACAAACCGACAAGTTGGTTCTCAGAATGTCAGAGCCTCGGGTGTTACCCTAAGGCACTTATTGCTGTTATGGGCTTTCTGGGGGAAGGTTTGGGCTTTGGGGGCTAAGGTTTGGGCTTTCACTATGGGGTCCATGAGCCTTAGGGTAAGAGACAACCCCCCAAAACCCCATAAGCCCTAAACCCAAAACCCCATACGCCCTAAACCCTAAACCCCATAAGCCCTAAAACCCCACAAAGCCCAAAACCCCATTCTGGGGGCCGAAGCTGTTAAGACTTAGGAGTTGCAAGCCAAGGGCCAAGGATTTTGGGCAACCTTCATCCCCTAAGAGTCCATGTACTGAAATAGTATATACCTTAGCCTTAATGTAGTCCCTATATAAGTACTTTAGGGCCAATATATACATATATATATATACATACATACATACATACATACATACATACATACTTTTTTGGCACATGGACCCTTAAAGACCGGGTTTAGGCCTTAAGGGCTTCAGCTCAGGAGTTTGGTAATCCAGGGCGCACGACGAAGAATGCGACAGGCATGCAGCACGTGGCAAGCCCAACGAGCACCATCCAAAAATGTGTGTCTTCGCCATTACCTTGCCAGATAGGGGGATGAATATTCTATCGACAAGATTTCATCGGATTCTACGGCGGCTTTACAACTGTCTTTGCAAGGGGCCACTGGATGTACTGTCTTTGGATATTAGACTGCTTCAATCCCAACAGTGCTATTCTCGGTCTTGCTGCTATGGGACCGTGGTCTTGCGCAATCCAGGTCGAGGGCTTCGGCTTAACATGTGAGTGAGGCTTCAAGGTTAGTGTAACAAGTGCAGCAGGCTCCAGAATCAACAAGTGCGAGTGGCACAAGGCGCCAGGATAGTCCTGCAGGGCACGGGACATTAAAACTCTAAGCCGGAATGGCGTAAAGTACCCCTATAGACCGGGCCCCTAGCCGCAAATCTTATCAGACTCCTGATGGGTCTGTTGCAGCAGTCTCGAAATATGGTTGAGCGCTTAGGGTAGGGGCAGCTTCCCTAGCGGTCAGGGTTCCCTCACTTCCTCAGTTTTCAGGTCCACCAGAGAGCTAAGGATTTTGGTAAGGTAGCGGGCTCTATGCCCGCAAAAGCTAGCAGCTACTTGCGTTTAGGGTCCTCGGTTTATAACGTAGGTTTGGTAATATGTTCAACTTATGAAAATTTAGACATGGCACGAACAGGTCATGGACTCGACTTGCACGGTCACTTAGAAGCCCACTGGTTTGCAGATGACGTGGGCCCACGATTAAGCCGCTCTTCGTCAGGGCCTTTCGGATCATGGCATGTCACAGGCAAGGTTGCAGCACCAATATGGCGGTTTTGATACAATTTCCTACAGCTGTTGAATTCACAGCCGATTGGCGACGCGATGTCCAAAAGTACATATAACGAACATGAAGCCTCTCACCGGGACCAGCACACTTGCATTAAGGAATGTACCTTAAACTGTCGAGTATTTCCCGTGATAAAAGGCTGTCGGCCTCTGGGCAGATACCTTCGGTTTTCCAGAGCCTTAAACCCTAAACTCTAAACCTAGCGGTTCCTGCACCGTCCACAGGCCATTTGGATGCACATGGCACCGGAAGGGAGCCAAAATTGCCGAGCAAAGCCTGAAAGCAGTCGACCATCAGGTTTGGGATGTAATTAAGGCTTGGGGTTTGAAGGTTTAGGGTTTAGGGTTCTATTGCCCAATATGTATATATATATACATATATATATAAAGCTGGCTCTTTTCGGCAGCGCCGATACTTGGCTGGGCTTCGGGGTTTCGGTGGAAGGGCTTGCAAGGCGTTTGGGTTTCTGCTTCTGCCATGAACAAAGCGCGAGGTAGCTTTAAAAAGCCATGTGCTCTGTGTGCCCGGAAGTCTTACGCGAGTGTGACGACCAGCAGAGTGCAGAATCGGAATTCTGTGTCAAGCAGATGGCATGTGTGTCTGCCCAACGCACGAACAAAGGCTGCAGGCAAAAATGATTGAAGGCTGTAATGGGCATGGCGTCGAAAGAAACACCTGCATGCACCGCAAACCCTAACACAGCCTAAACCCGAAACCCTAACCCTAAAAATAAACAACTAGTAGACCATTAAACCCCAAGCCGTAAACTACGTAGAAGCAGCTCGGGAGTCTTGCGACCCAAGCTTGTTAGCTTCTCTTGACACGTAGTTTTAATTGTTCTAGTAAGCTGTGTACATGCAAAACACTGTGCTTCGACAGTTCTTGTAATTACATTAACTCAAACCCTGAGCCAACGTCACTTGGGCACTACGTGAGCTGCTCAACGCCAAAGAAATTCCCCGTTGAAGGGTTCTACCCAATAAATTTGCGGGGTCATAACCTACTGTCTTGCAGGGCTTGGGGTCACGGGTACTCCCTAAACCCGACTCCCTGAAACCCTACACTCTACCCTCATCCAAAAACCCGACTCCCTTAAGCCCTAAACCCCTTAATCCCCAAACCCGAAACCCGACCTCCCAGACCCCAAACCCTCACCGAGCTGCGTGATGAAGAAGGTGATGAAGATCGAGCCCAGAGCTCCCACCAGCATCTCGAGCTTCGCCTGTAGGGTCTATAGGACTTAGGATGGTTTAGGGTTCGGGGTTCAGCGTGAGGGCTTAGGGTTTAGGGCTTAGGGTTTAGGGTGGTTTAGGGTTCAGTGTTTTGGTTCAGGGTTCAGGGTCAGGGTTTAGAGTTTAGGGGTGTGGTAGGGTATAGTTCTGTTCCCTTTCACCCTAAACCCAAACACCGCTGGTGTATAGCATAGCATAGTTACAATAAGGAGCCCTAAGGGATAGTGATTGGAAATTCTTAAATCAACCAGGTCACGTTCGTGGAACGTATTGATAGAATGTAGAAGCCGTGAATGATGGCCAGCACCACGGTGATCATCGGAACAAGCATCGTCTGAAGCCTGGGGCTGTAGGGATCAGAGAATAGGCTTCAAGGTTTTACGGGCTCAAGGCTTAGACTTGTTAGGAGTTAGGTTGCGCGCTTTAGGGTTCAAGGTTGTAGGGCCATTGTAGGGGCTTAAGGCTTACAGCTTCGGTCAGGTTGTAGGGTTTGGGGTTCAAGGTTTGAGGGGTTCAGGCTTAGAGATTCATACATAGGCTTGTCGACTCTCACAGTTCCATTCACAAGGCAGTCAAGGCTGCACGATCACGACCCAGTGCCATGACCGTCACCCAAAGACCCACAAAAGTCACAGCCATAATCAATCTTGTTGAGGTTTGCCGCCAGGGAGATGCTTAGGGGAAGTTATAAGTGGGGTTATGAGCAGGGTAGCTATAATGGTTATAAGTCATAACCTTTAACCCATATTAGGGGACTTCTAACCTTAGGGTGTAGAATTTTGGCGTGTTGGGCTCGGGGGTGAGGTCGGGGGGGTTCGGAAGCACTTGTGGCTGAAGATGGCGGAACTTCATGGTGAAGTAGACCCCACATAGGGTTTCAAGGGCTCCTTTAAGGGTTCCTTGAAGGGTTCGTGAGTTCCTTTAAAGGGTTTAGGTTTAGGCTTTAAGGGTTTAGGTATGCCAAACGACACACCCTGAAGTCTTGGGGAAGGTCCAAGTTGGCTTCGTGATCGCACCCGTCAGAAGGGCCGAACCCCGAAACGCCCAAGGTCAGGGCTTTAAGCACAAGGGGCTTTAGAGTATAGGACGTTGCTACCAATCTATTCAAGAAGGTGTGTTGACTCAGCAAATCCCAACTCTGCGAGTTCAAGAAATCCTTTAAAGTTCGCTCAGGGCGCATGTACCGCGAAAGCTCCCCAGGCGCATAGCACTGCAGCGACACCATGTCGAGGTTCAGGCTGATGAACTCTGCAAACTGCATGAGGCCTGGAAAGGCGATAAAGGAAGTGTGAGGAAAGGACGCCGCCGATGAGTGAAAGGCGCAGGGAAGCTACGACACCATCAAGCTAAAACCTTCAACCGAACACTTAGTCCAGAATTCCCTAGCACCTGTACAACCAGTACGAACACGAGAGGTGGTCATAGTCGGAAAACGTCATCTGTCAGTACAAACTTGGAGTGCATCGAAGGTGACCGTCGCTAGGTTCTATCGAGTCTTCGTCATCATGGAGGCGGTGCCGCCAGCGAAAGTAGTTCCCATAGATGTTGCAGTAACGATAATTCCTGGCTAGAAAGTAATAGTCGAAGTCGTCGTGGTCGTCGTACTAGTAGTGGTAGTAGCAAGAGCAGTAGTAGTAGCAGTAGTAGTAGTAGTAGTAGCAGTAGTAGCAGCAGTAGCAGTAGCAGTAGCAGTAGCAGTAGCAGTAGCAGTAGCAATAGCAGTAGCAGAAATAGTAGTAGTAGTAGTAGTAGTAGCAGTAGTAGCAGCAGTAGCAGCAGTAGTTGTTGTTGTAGTGGTGGCAGTAGTAGTAGTAGTAGTAGCAGTAGTGGGAGTAGTAGCAGTCGTAGTAGTAGTACTATCACGACGACGACTACTGACTACTGCTGCTACTGCTGCTGCTGCTGCTGCTGCTGCTACTGCTACTACTACTTCTACGACGACGACGACGACGACGACTGCGACTACAGCTACGGACACGACTGCGACTACTACGACTACTACGACTACCGCGACTGTAGCTGGGCTGGGACTGTGTTTACGACTTCGACTGCGGCTACGACCACTTTGAGGTCGAATGCTACTACTCCTGCTGCTCTTGCTGTGATGCGACACCTGGACCCTCTATCTATTGGAATCCCTGCCCCAAAGTTGTACCCAGGTTGCTCTGGAAGGGTTCGCCCCAAACGATCTCAAACTGCTGGATGACCAAGAGCTGCTGGAATGCAGTGACCTTTCTTGGGAGCGCCATGGGCGGATGCACGTGGGCTCGTGAGTGCCAAATATCGCAGAATAAATATATGAGACCCTAAGGCAGTCAGGCAGGTCAAACCAGAGCCCTGCACTGGGAACTCCATCATGAAAGATCTATAGCCCCTAGGAAAAGTCCCACAGGCTCGTAAAGTTTAGGGGTTCTCAAAGGTTTTGGGATTTTCGGCTTCCGGCTTTTTTGGGGCGCAGGGATCTCAAGAGTTGGGGGTTGGGGAAGTTCCTCTGTTGCAATGAGACGGAGGGGATCAAATGCGAACAACAACACCTGAGAATCCTCAGCCCTAAATCAAAAAGCCCAAAATCCCAAACACCTAAGCCTTATAAGCTCTATAAGCACTATAACCCCTATAATCCCTATAATCCCTATACGCCCCATAAGCTGAGCCCCCTTCGTTGAGTTCCGGGTTCTTGGCTCGATTTTCGGGTCGAAGAAGCTGCGAAATGAGCCGTTCTCCACGGTTTAGGGATTGGGGTAGTCGGGGTCTGGGGCTTAGGGTCTAGGAATCAGTGCATTTTTTCGGATTTAGGGTTTAACATTGTTCTATATAGGATAGGGCTTTCAGGTTTTTGGCTCGGGGTACTTCACTTCAGCGGACCATTTTGTAGGATAGGATAGCTTCACATGCCCTTACAGTATGGCTAGGCAGAACAGCGGCTTGCAAACTGTGAGCTCGATTTGTTTGGGGTCCCCGTTTCCCTAAACCCTAAACCCACAACCCTGACCATAGTGACAGCCCAGTAGAGTCTAGGCAGCTTCGGATTCTGCCGGATGATTCTCAAACCCTTCCGAAACAGTCTCGTGCCACGGTGACCTACTGCTTCGGGGTCTAGGCCATGGAGTCCCTAACCCTAAACCCACAGCCCCGAAACTCAAGACCCGAAACCGTGTTAACTCCATGGGCAGTCCAAGGAACAAACTGTCCGAGTGCCAGAGCTGTGATTAGAACATGCCCCGGATAGCCAGTCCTTGCACGGTGCTCCACACCAGAACCCTGAGTAACTTCAATGCTCCTGTACTAGGAGTAGTAGTAGTAGTAGTAGTAGTAGTAGTAGTGGTAGTGGTAGTGGTAGTGGTAGTGGTGGTAGTAGTAGTAGTAGTAGCAGTGGTAGGTAGGTAGGTAGGTAGGTAGGTAGGTAGGTAGGTAGGTAGGTAGGTAGGCAGGGAGGTAGGTAGGTAGGTGGGTAGGTAGGTAGGTAGGTAGGTAGGCAGGTAGGCAGGCAGGCAGGTAGGTAGGTAGGTAGGTAGTAGTCACAGAATTACAAATAGGAGCAGGAGTAGGAGTTCGTCGTCGTCGTTGCGTAGTGGTAGTACTAGCAGCTGCAGTAGCAATAGCCTTCGCAGTGGAATTAGCATCCAGTCGTCGAAGTGGTACTGGCAGTGGCAGTGGTAGCGGTAATTACTGCGAGTGGTATTCTTTCTCGTCGTAAAACACTCATCCCACAGAGCGTGCTGGAGGTTTGAATTGCATGGAGCGACCTGCAAGCACTCATAGAGGACTACGCAGGCTAGCAGTACTTAGAGCAACAGGTGTAGAAGTTCATCGTCCTCGTGCTTCTTCAGTATCTGAAGGAGCTCTACGATACCCGGGTAATGATCATGCCGTGCAGCAGCCCGCCAGCAGCAGTCAGCGGTATCACCGGTCACGGGCGACACTTCAAGTACCAAGAGAGCACAGCACTTGGGAAGACGGTTGAACCTTTGCCTACCTCAAAACCCTAAACCCTAAACCCTGAACCCTGTTCCCTAAACCCTAAACCCTAAACTTTAAACCCTAAACCCTTAAAACCAATCCAAACCGATGAGCCGGATCTGGAGGACCGGAGGTCATGGTAAGCTGGCCGATAAGCCGGCCTCGTACATAGCTATCCTAACTGCAAGGGTTTGGGGTTTAGGGGTTTAGGGGTTTAGGGGTTTAGGGTTTAGGGTTTAGGGTTTAGGGGTTTAGGGTTTAGGGTTTAGGGGAAGAGCTCAATAAGCAAGCCAAGACGCGACCACCCTGACTTTTAGAGCCCGTGAGTCTGAGACCCTGACCCATAGCCCTTGAACCCCGAACCTTTCTCAAGGAACAAACGCATACCAGGAACTTCCCCCAAAAACCCTGTAAGCCCCTGTCAAGAAACCCTAAAACCCCGTAAGCCTCATTAGAAACAAACACCCGAAGCCAGCCCTAAACCGTTGCGGAGTCCTTGAGCTGCGCCGCACCCAGATTAGGTACATGCAGAGCAGCACGCAAACGGTGCACAGGAAGACCTTGACTTGGTAGACCCAGACCCTAGGCCCCTAACTCTGAAACACGAGTCCCTTAAACTCTACACCCTGGGACAATGCTTGGGGTCCCTCCTCCTCTCCAGTCAAAGTGTGTTCTTCGTTAGGCACGTGGCCCCATGACCGAAATCGACAATCCCGGTGAAACGCTGGCTTGGCTTTGGATGCTTTAGGAACCAGGACTTGAAGGCTTTGGCACGCGGCAGATTTGGGAACATCAGCTTCATTTCACGTGGGCAAACAGTTTCATTTAAACTGCACGGAGAAGGCACGCAGCTGAAGCTCCGAAAAGTAATGCTTCCAGGCGGCGCATGCAGAAGTAAGACTACCCCAACCCCAAACTCCTGAAGTACCTAGATCCCCTAAACCCTAAACCCTCCTCGACTGCCGGACCCCCTTCGGGTTTGAAACCCTAACCATAGAAGTGGCAGCTTCTCTACAGGATTGTGGCGAAGAGTTTGGGGATGAAGGGCTTGAAGGTTTGGGGATTTTAGGGTTTAGTGGTCCCCATAAGGAACCCCTAAAATGTAAAAAGCTTAGCTGACTGTTGTCGGCTCTGTGGCATCCTGAAGATGGGATCAAGCAACCACGAAATCTGGTATTCTCGGATGTTGATGGGTGCAAGCTTTCACCGGACCCAAACATGCTGAACCTCCGAATCCTAGGGCCTACAAGCATAACGCTGCAAGCCACGAATGCTGTAAAGAGTGTGTCGCCGGCTGCACACTTCGTGCAGGTGCTATCCTGCACTTGGAGGCTCATGGGACGTAGCAAATACAGTTGTAAGCACCGTAACTGGAGATATAAGCATAGTTAGTTAACTTATTTAGAACCCTAGTTACTACGTTCCATGAACCTTTAGGCAGAGTCAGCTTCGAGGATTCGAGTTTAAAGACTCGCGCCTTTCAGGACGGGGTGGCAGAAAAGAAACCCACGAATAAAAGGGGCTTAATGTTTATAATAAGGGTTTGGGAGATTATGTGCTTATAAAAACAATGCGGAGCTCTAAAGAATAATATTTAGCAATTGTTGAGGCTCCTACACTAAACGATACAAGGAAGAAGGGTTAAGAGTAACACACACTACACTTGTCAATGGCACAGCTTCGCGGTGCCCTCTAGGCGCACAGTTGGACCAGCGCACAATGGTGTGGGAAAGGACCCTGGCAGGGACCCTTCAAGCGCGACACTGCCGCACCACACGCAACACTTGCAGCTGCAAGCTGTAGACTGATGCGCACCAACACACGACGCGGTTGCATGTGAGTGTTCGCCGCCTGCACTTGGTCGAGTGGAAGTGCTTGCCAGCGTGCTTTCGGATTTCGTTGGTCACATTCCCTCAACCACCGACACACCCTTTTTCAACAGACTCTCCTCGCACAAAGTCTCCCACGCTCTTTCGCAGTGCGTGTGTGTGTGTGTGCGCGGGCTGAAACTACGAATGCCATAATGTTTGTCCAACACAGTACAAGGCTCTGGTTCAAATCTGCTGGTACAGAGTACCGCAGTGCCACACTAACAGTAGCAGTCGTGGAAGGAGTGGTGACGGTGGCAGCAGTTGTACCGGAAAGGCCGTGGTAGCGATGTCAGTCGCAGTCGCCATGTCGTCGTCGTCGTCACCTTTTCCCAAACCCTAAACCCTAAACCCTATATACGCTTGAACCTTGACAACTTAAGACCTCTGCCCAAGC